AGAGGCGGTGCAGACTTTTGGCATACTCTGTATAGCTGATGGACTAAAAATATTTCAGGTAGATTGAAGATGAACAATCATAACAGCATACCAATTTTCGAGTTCTCAAGCCAATGGCAAATTAGAAAACTTCCAATGTGTGTTTTACGTGAATCACCCTGAATAAACTGAAAGGTTGTTGGAAATGAACCCTACTCTTGTACCGCCACTGCTAACTAGACCAACATTAATCACAGAAGATAAATTTCCTGATGGTTCCGGTTTTGATTAATCAGTCTCCTCGTCTTTTATTGTGGAAAGGCTAAATAATATATAGTCGTTGTAACCGTCTTTGCCATTTGAAATCCAAGCCGTATAAAACACATTTTTTCGGCGGTTGTCATATTATAGCAACATCATAATTATGCATATACATAATTGAATTGACAAAATATGCTTGACATGAGCAAGCACATTGTTGGAGATGTTTCGTCACTAAATTTACTTGCTATGACACTTTTACATCTACTTCTTCTACTAAAACTTCCGAGCTTGCTGTCAATGGTATTAATCGTTAATTATCTGCATCTCCTATTGATAGAACAACTGGATGGCCTTTCGAAAACAGCAATATTATAGCTATGTTACACCCAATTTAGAATCAAATAAAAAAAATACTAGTCCGATTCTAGAATGGCTTGTTCCATGTTGTGTGATAATATTTCTAGAATGGTACGGTTTACCTATTCTGACGAATGATGAAACTCAAACCCATCACAAGCAACGAAGTTATCCCAATCTTATCGAAACTTTCTCGGATTATTTTTTTTTTCCTGGCTTGTTATGATTCACCTAGACGCAGAAATTTTTTCCATGGAAAGATGACGTTTTTTAGAATGTCCTACATTTCAGCTGTACAGTAGAGGTAATCTTTCCAATTCCCTTGATATTGACGAAAACTGTTGCATAGAGTGATAAATCGGGATAACAACGAATTGAAAAATTCAGTCATGCATATTGTGATTTGAACATTGAATACTTTACATATGGACGTAGAATGATTTTATATAATTTTTGATCTTTTGATGACATTATATTTTTTCCGATATTGAAATTATGCCATTTAACTTCTTACCTAATGTGTAATTAGTGAACTAGTGTAGTAACCACCGATATTGAAATAATCTTCATGAGTTATTTTTAATTGTGATAAGTGTTCTTCCGTCAGTAATATACGGGGTATTACAAATTATTAGTCTCGCATGGGAATTGAAATTGTAAATAACCCTACGTATCGAAGAACTAAACACGTTCGAGAATCTATCAAAAATTATCCAGGAAGAATGGGAGAGAATGTCACGCCAATTTATACAGAGATTACTCTCCATTAGAGAGCATACCATCTCGATGTCGTTCTATCCTGCATGTATGTACGTGAAGGCTCTATTCTCACATATTGTTTGCCTTATCGTTGAACATGGGTAATACGTATGGCAACATAGCAATAGAATAGATATTGTTTTGGTCGGCTATCGTTCATCTCCGCCAGTGTTGACAGATCAATAATGAAATAATCGGAACATTGACATGTAGGAGCTGTAGATTTTTCAGAATAAAACGGTAGATATAGTTTGAAAATCGCAGTTTTTGCCAACTACTGGTGGTTTACTAGTAACGTAATTAGGTAGGTAATCAACAGATGTAAAAACAAAAAATTAAATAAGCATCAGCCTTGTATGAACCCACCTAAGATAATGTATCTTCAAAAAAGATAAAACGGACAAACAATCAGTGATTGTATAGAAGCCACGAATCTTGGGGATTCACCGATATTATATTATCATTTCTATGCATCATTGTAATAATCAAATGAAATCAAAATGAAATCGATTCGAAGTGAAATTGATTCGAAAGTATGAATGAAAATTTCAGCCTTTGATTTATTGATTTTCTGCGGTATATAGAGCGTTGGTTCACTCTAAAATAACGGTATAGATATAACGCAAGAACGGCAGACCTGGCAACACTGGCCACCACAGTGAAACAACCACCATTCACCGTAACTGCCCATGTTGCCAAATGCCATACTTTCTTAGTACTCCTATATCGTGTGTTCCAAATTCGTCACCATTGGGATCTTTGTAACTTTGAGAGATACAGAGAATCGATTAAAGCCGGAAAGTTTCAGCAAATTCAATCGTGATTCAGAATCCGTCAAGAAAAACTGAGAATTTGTTATTTAGTTTTTCTCGAATATCGCGAAAACTATTGATTGTATGAAAAGATGACTCCAAAATTGTGATGGGACTTTTTAGTGTCTCTCGAATGATTTTGTCGATTTTTGGAAAAAAAATGAAAGAATGAGTATAGGAGGTCATATCTCAGAAATTTGATAATTGTAACAAAAACTGACAAAACCATTCAGAATATTACTGAAAAGTACTATTATAGAATGTTGAAGTCGTTTTATCATACAATCAATGATTTTCGATATATTCGAGAAGAAGAATAACTTAAAAATTACTGAAGCTAGTCTAGATTTCTTGATGGATTCTGAATCAAGATTGAATTTGCTGAAACTGTCGTGATCAAATAATTACCGAGATCTCAATATCGAATGTGGTACACATCAGGTCGATTCTGATTGCAAATAGCAATATGGTTGTAGAAAAGATTTTGGTATCATAGCAAGATTCGAAAATGTGGAATTCTAGTCATCGATTTTTGACAAAATGTTCTGCCAATTGTGCTTGCTATCTTATATATACAATAGGTAGTGGATTCTCTGTTTTTGCACTACAATTTCTTCCAAGTGTTTGAAATTTCAGAAAATAGGTGTTCAAAACCATATCAGAGCTTACTTGTGCTACTTACTACTCGAAAACATTTCCTCAAAGTTTCAATCTGTAGAGAAATTAATGGAAAATTAAGAAAACAGGTGATTATAAACATATAGGTTTACTTGTGTGACCAACTACTTGAAAACCTTTCCTCGAAGTTCCAATTTGTAGAGAAAGTATGAGACTACAATTTCGGCATATTATATAAAAACCAGTTAACCATTTGAGTTGCCTGATGGATAGTTTATCAAGCTATTTCGCTTGAATAAGCCAGCAGCGTGAGTTTTTCCGGTCATATGAATCAGGTTCTTTTCCAAAAGAAAATCACGATTATTCTCATCCAGCTTTTCGTTGTTTTCTTGTTACGGGGACATGAGTGACCAAATCCAGCAAATACAAAAAATCTGTCAATTTGACTTTTTTATGTTCTGGTCCCATGAAAAGGGATATCCTGTAATGTTCAGAGAACATCGTGAGAACCAAGGGAAATGAGGTAGAATTTGGTGTTCTTCTCAAATTCCTGGAGGTTATATGCCTCGGGGAACACCTCCCTTGGAAATGTTTTCCAGAGCCTCGCTGTTTGTTGGATGAACGAGTCTTTGGAAAGAGATGTTCAGCAGGTCTGCTCCAAAGTGACCACGAAGGGGTGCGAAGCCTCAGCTCGACGGTTTAATCTCGCGGAGACTGCCAAGGGAGGAACAATCGTTGATATTCCAGTTGAGCATCGTCCATGAAAGTATCTATGAAATAGAGCCAGATCGCCAACTTTTCTATGGTGTTCCAGAGAAGTGAGTGAGTTTGTGAGCAAGGCATCACCCACGAGACGAATTGCCCTTTATTGGACAGAATCCAACAGTTTCAGGGTATGTTTGGGTGCTGCACTCCAAATATGGAAACAGTATTCCAGGAGAGGTCGAATCTGTGCCTTATAGATGATAATCATCAGCTGACTGGAAGTGAAATAGCCCCTGGCCCGAAATAGCAAACCAAGTTTTTGGGATGCACTTTTAGCAATTGATCTCACGTGATTTTGAAAAATGTCAGTGCAGGAAGACTAATTTGGGAGGTTAAATTATCATAAACATCATAAACTCTTCTTCGTATGCAACGATTCGATAGAAAATATGACTATACCTTTTCAACTTCAATTTCGGAATCGGTAAGTTATATTTCGGAAAAAGTAATCTCGATTTCAGAATTGGTTAGTTCGATTTCAGAAATGGTAAACTCAATTTCAGAATCGGTGAGATGAATTTCAGAGAAAGTCCATTCAATTTCAGAAATGGTAAATTGTATTTCAGAATTGGTAGGTTCAATTTCAGAAAATGAATCCTCATATTTGTTTGAAATGTTTCCAATTGCATGTGAGATTAACAAACCATATTTACAGTATTCAACTTTTCAAAAACAATCCAATAACATAATTATAATCTCCACAGATGTCTTCCATCCGAATCGCAGAAGGATAGTAGCGTTGCACATGATTATAAGAATGCAAACACATTTGAGGTGTTATCATTTTCATAGAATGATCTGCACATTCTTCAAGACATCGCAGTCTGAATTCCATCTGGTTGAGCAGCTCTTGCAAAAAGCCCTTCACTTCTGACTTGATGAAGGCTCTCTATATATGTTCAATCGGATTCAACATAGGGCTGTAAGGTGCCAATCTGCAAAATATAACATCTTGAAATTCTTCCTCGATGCATATCTCTTCTATTCTTGAATGTGCAGGTGCATTATCCAGAACTACCACTATCTGCAGGATTTCCATTTCAAACGCACTCTCTCGAACACCGTTCCATCCACTGTGAATAATATTCTCTTTTGCAATTGAAATCATTTCAAACATATATAAGGATTCATCTTCTGAAATTGAACCTACCAATTCTGAAATACAACTTACCATTTCTGAAATTGAATGGACTTTTTCTGAAATTCATCTCACCGATTCTGAAATCGAGTTTACCATTTCTGAAATCGAACTAACCAATTCCGAAATCGAGATTACTTTTTCCGAAATATAACTCACCGATTCCGAAATTGAAGTTGAAAAGGTATAGATACTGACATTTTATGCTCATTAACTCAAATAGAAAATAACTATTTGAGTAGAAGTTTGAATAAGTTATGTGATGATTTTTGCAGGGCAGCAAAGGTGGCGCCCCAGCCCCTTACTACATGGGCTCGACGGCCAGTCTACCCCGCGGTACCACCCTTCTGAGGGCCTACTCTCCTGCTGTCACCAGTTTGACAGCTGATCGGATGAAGCCTCTACCTACCGGTATGCCGCACTGTTGACATGGTTTGTGATGTGATTGCAGAGTTTGAAGTCGTGAGATTGAATTATTCACGTATTTGTGCATGGGTTGAGTTGATGAAACATCATGATTGTTGCTTCTATGGTAATGATATTCTGGCTGTGTACTTAATTAAAACGCGAAGGTTCACTGATGATTGCTTTCAAACCACATGAACTGTTCAAAGTGGATCAATATTGAATACATGTATATACAGGGTGTCTGTGAATGGTTGGGATTTGGCTCGGCTGTGGACTCCTGGAATGAAAAGAAGTTGATTTAGGCCCACTTACCTATATCCAAAATGGCCTCGTTGAGTTGGTACAAGGCGTTGAAGTTTTTTTGGAAAAAAATAATTTTGCTCATAAAAAGAGTAGATGAGATCGATTTTCATAATTGTTGGCATGGCATGTTCTGTGACTGTGAGTCACGTTTCGAGATGTTTTTGATCATCATCAGTGACCTGCAACTGTTTCAAACAACCATGTGGCCATACAAACTTGGTGATAACTTTTCAGAGGTCAGACTGGAAACTTCCAGTTTTTTTTTCCAGAAAGATATTTCCATCAGAAATAGTTTTTATATCGTGTTGATTGTTTGATAAGTCTCGAGATTCATTTGCGAATAAATAATTTCTGATCTGAGGCATCTTATGCATTTTTTAGAAAAATAATCTGGTTGGGACATGGCTTGACTGTAGACTCCTGGGATGAAATAAGTTGATTATAGCCAATTTACCTATATCCAAAATCGTTTCGTTGAGTTGGTACAAGGCGTTAATGTGCTCATCTTAGGTCCTGAATAGTTATCGCTAAATTTGTAACGCGAGAGTTCTTGTTAAGCCCGCGAGGACCAGCAACATATCAGTTTGTAAACAATACGAATACATTGTAGCCATGATCAATAAACAGTCCGACTAATAAGATTGATTTTCAAAAATGCGCAGGATGCATCATTTCAGGAATTATTTATCTGCAACTGAACCTCGAGACTCATCAAAAATTAACACGATACAAAAATATTACTGAAGGGAATATCTTTCTGGAAAAAAAGACTGGAAGTTTCCAGTCTGACCTCTGAAAAGTTATCACCAAATTTGTACGGCAACACGGTTGTTTGGAACACTTGCAGGTCACTGATGATGATCAAAAACATCACAAAACGTGACTTACAATCACAGAACATGCCATGCCAAAAATTATGAAAATCGATCTCAGCCTACTCTTTTTAGGAGCGAAATTATTTTTTCCAAAAAAACTTCCACGCCTTTTGTACCAACTCAACGAGACGATTTTGGATATAGGTAAGTTGACCTAAATCAACTTGTTTTTATCCCAGGAGTCCACAGCCGATCCATGTCCCAACCTTTTTCAAACACCCTGTATACAACTCACACAAGTATATAATATCATTATTTAGATGCGATTATATCCTTCATCCAGTAAGGCATAAACTCTTAGCTTTAACTACATAGAGATCTATGTATTCAGTTGACGGTTTAGCTAGATCACCGTATATCAAACTAAAAATAGAGTGCCTAGAAAATATGACGTTTATTGCTTTCAACCCTTCGAGGAGCACGCCATTAGAGCTCATAACGTTCAATAAATTACCGGGAAAATGCATCAAATCTAGCTTAATATTTCAAAAATTGAATCTGAATCCTTGGTCACATATTGCTTTTCAGATATCAAAACAGATCTACAAAATATCGATATACATGGTTATTGTTTCTGGGGAAATAGTTATATTTGTACGTTTTTGTATTTAGTGTGCGAAATTGTTATCAATGCGCAAACATTGCCATTTTTTGACGTTTGTAGAAAAAAAATTATCTATTTTTCCTGAAGACCAACCTGAATGTCCATTTCGATTTTCATTCAATTTGGATGTGTGCAGTGAGTGAAATAAACCTATGAAGAATGAATAGATTACACGAAGGGATTCTAAAGTAATAGCACATTTGAGTTTTCTCACTCAAAACTCCTGATCAATTATTTGTTAGTGCTTTTCAAATTCGTCTTTCTAGGTTGATCCATGATTGGATATCACAATGTTTTCTCAGAAATTATTATTTTGCATATCTACCTTAGATATTCAATCTATATTTTTGTGTATTGATCTTGATTATGTTCAAGCTCGTGTTCAAGTGGTATGGTTATAACACCTGTGAAACACAATATTCATCTGTTTGTTGCATCGGATATGTTGTTGTTTGTAGATCACTTACTCTTTAACCAGAGATATAGTCAGTGTCGGACTGAGACAAAATTCTGAAAATCCTCTATGAATTTGTAGAGTATTTTCAGTGTCATCAGTAGAAAATATTCCTCATTCAAAATCAATCCCATGAAATCATACTTACTACCTATAATAAAAAAATATCTGATTTTGGAGTAGACCATCATCGACCGTACTGGAATGATTTCTCAAAAAATAATAATTTTTTCTTCACTAGACAATTTTTTTATTAAAATGAATCATAAATTTGCGGAAGCGTTTAGAGTCTAAATAGTGAATAATCAGGGTATTTTATTTTTATTTCGACCTTTCTTCTTGACATTCAGACCTTTGTATCTGGATACAGTCATTTTTCTTCGAATGCATGAATGAATGAACACAGATTATTTTCTTTGAATTCAGACTTCATTCTCTCTGAATTCAATGTCGTTTTTCTCTGTATTCAGAATTCAGACATTTTTCTTCCTGAATCCGTTCTCTTCTCTGATATGTAAACGGCACAAAAACAAGAGCGAGTATTCCTTTTCATGAAATAGTTGTTTGTTTTACTAGGCAGCAAAATAGTAGATTGACTGCCATGGCTGCTATAGGCTAGGAATTCAGCCAAGACAGTCAATCTACATTTTCTTTGCTGCCGTGTGAAACACAATGTCAGTGCGTCGATTTTGATTAAAAATTGCATTTCAATTACTTGGAACGTTGCATAGAAAGGAACTTCTCCTGCCTAGACAGAGAAAGTACAACTTTCCTGCCTGTAAAGTGTCAGAGGAAACCCACTTTCTATGCCGCTTGGAGAAATATTGAATTTTTCTACGGCTATAACACAAAATTGCTCTCGTTTAACTGTGTTCGATACATCAATGAAGTACTTTGTATATCATCAATTTTATTTCCGTATCTGATATCACAATGACTCCATTGTGTTATTATTCCAAAAATATCTCATCGCTCATGGAATGTCAAATTGCAAGCAATGACAGCTCTGTCTAATTGCTGAGTATTACTTGACAGGAAATCAGATGGCTACTAGCCGAAAAAATCGAAAATGCCGCTGTTATCTGTTACAGTCGTAGAAAAATTATAGTGTATAACTTGCACGGAATGCTAATTTCCAACTCGAATGATTGCAGCATTCGCCTATGACTCATGCTGCCTACTTCATTCTTGTAGGAAATCACTATCATTCCGTGCTCGTTGAACAATATAGTATTTCTTATTGGCATTTTTTTAGAAAACCGCTCAGTTTTCTATACACTGCAACTACGGAATTCTTTCATTTATTTATCCTTTGTGACATTACAATATCACAGGGACAAGTCAATAACTTACTCTAAAAAGTGTGTTCAAAATTAGCTCAAAATCATCACATTTAATTTTTTTTTTACAAAAGTACAAGCGGCACAAAATAAAGGTAAAAGGTTCTTACAAGCTATCCTGGAGGTATTCCTTCTCACTTCAGTAACATTTATAAGTTTTTTTGTCTTTTTGAAATTCCAGAGATTTATTTGTCCCTTGTAGGAATATGTCTGTACTAATTTTTTCTGTGTGTCGACACTGGTGTGATCATGAAAGAAACGTGAGTTGATAAACCAGAATCATATGTTCATTCAATGCATTCCATTACAGCGTTTAACAGCTATTGGAACAGAATGTGTTTCAGGTGTTGCACCCTGTATATCACGAAAACGAAGGGTCAGGATGTACACTCTGAATTCAAAGAGAAAAATTTCGATTCAGAAAGAATAGCCTGAATCCAAAGAAAACTGTCTGAATCGGAAGATTGAAGTAGAATAGCCAGCGCGTGTGTTCTAGAATTGATTATAATTTTTGTTGAGTATGCCGACGGGATATAGATATATGACACTTCAATCATTTCATTATCATTCATAGTCAAGGAGAAAGAAAATCCAATAGAAACTAGAGAACTGAACGATTTATGTTTTCAATTCGTGCAAATCTGGTTGAAAATCAAAAACAGATATTTTTTTCTATGTCCGCTCGCCCCTTGTCCATGGTCTGGCACTGATTTGTTTGTTTTGTTTTGATGTTGAATTCTGTGAAATGTTCGTAAGGTGCGCCCCCCAAACCCCAACGAGCGCCCCCCCGGTCCAGTGATGGCCCACCTAGACCTCCAGATCGATTCGTTCCATTCCAAAGGCCTGCCAACCCCTTGTATAATATACCAGGTGGGTCAACACGGCCTTCAAGCTTCAACGTTGAGTTCTTTCGAAAAACTGGTATTGAATATTGAAAGTATTCGGATCCCATAACTCTGACGAGATTGAAACTCGTATATATATATATACACTTGAAACTATACAGTGCCCGTCGAAAGTCCGTTCTCCTCTTACTAATTTTTGAACTATCTGGAACACCCCATATATTATTCCAGTTTCCTCTGATACACTTTACTCCTGAATTCAATTGTTTTCGAAATATTAACGTTTGAAAGGTGACATTCCGGTATGAAATGAAGTATGGATTTTGGCCACTTCCTTTCTCGGGAAATCTATTATCAAACATACCATACGAACTGCTAGATGATAATTTCTTCCAGCTCCTCCAAATATCAAAACTAATTCAAAATCACCGTCTTAACTACGAGCCATGATCACACTTATCATAAAATTATTGGGGCGGTCAACAAACTATTCGACAGTTACAGTTAATTTGACAGTAGACAAGACGTTACCGCGACGATTTTCTCCAATGCAAACTTGATTGAAAGCAACATCAGTGTTTTTGGTTGGGTTTGCAATGAACAAAATTTTACCTTCACACGTTTATATTTCAAAAACAATTGAATTTAGGAGTGAAGTGTATCCGAGGAAACTGTAGAGAATTATAAGCAAATTTCAGAAATTGAATAATATACGGGGTGTTCTATTTGAAAAAAATATTGAAGATGGCGCTCAGCCGCCATTCTGAAACTTTTAGCTTTGATTTTTTCATGGAAAAGTTGTTTTTTATCTCCTATTGAAGCCCTTCAAATGTAGTGGCGATATACCAGGTGGTTAAAAAATTAGTAGAGGAGGAACGGACTTCAGACGGTCACTGTAGAAATCATATGGCATGTCTGGAGAACACCTACATTGTCAATCTGCCTTTTATTTGAGAAATAATAGACTTTTGGGGTTCGAATAGTTTGGAAATTCATGATCATATTGAAATCATATTTATTTTTCATAAATTTATTTTGAGGAATAAAAATGAAATTATTATTACTTAGATTTGCATTTACTAGAAGAAATAATGTGCTCTGTATGGGTACTCGAATACGAATATTTTTCAGAGAAGTGCACAAGAAGAGGCCAGCGCTCTAACTTCTGAATTATTTGAGATCAGGATTTTAAATTCGGTGGCAAGCAAGTTCTGTACCACAGAGATGTGTACATAAGTATAGGATGAAAGATATACATGTTTGATCATATAATTCCATATTTTCGAAAGAAAACAACAATCATCCTCAATTCTTTTCTCGTGAATGCTCTACTGTACACTAGAATGTTTTGACTATCTTGATATTATGTAGTGTAGTGTATAGTTACGAAGGAATTGGTACCTAATAATAATGCATTTTTCTATAGAAGCATTATGAGTTGTTAACGTTTTTCTATTCCCTCGCTCTTTTTCATCTCAGGTCTAACCAAATATCTAATAATATAAACTACCAGATCGTGCCTAGAGCAAGAGGAATAGGAAATGATATATGAGAATGAGACGCAAGAACCAAGGTGATGCAACAAAATCAGCTAACGGTTGGGTGGAGTTGACAGAACAGTTCGCTAAGCTATATGATTAACCAATTCAGTATTGACATTTTGAGACAATAAGGGGAAATGGTGAATAAAAAATTGTGTTCTCCTCTCCTCTAATTCTGAAAACTGAGAATGTTTTCAATGATCAACTAATAATTCTATACATTGAAATGTTAAATTGAACCTTAATCAGGTCAAAAGAAGAATAGTGGGAACCTACCAATGCATTCCATGAACCAGAGAAGGGCAACGAGCAGCTATCATCTCTTGGTGGGACGAAAGCTGTATCTGTCTTAGTTACAAATTTTATTTATCTTACATATTTCACTTTCAATACCTTGGACAAGACGATAACGCGAAGGCACATCTAGTAGTTTGATATTATCAGGACTTTGGCTTAGACGATATCAACCTTGAGTTGTTTCATGAATTAGTGCCTTGAGGACTGTGGTTGGATACTCATTCTCTCTCATTCTCCTTGAAGAACTCAATATAAATTCTTGCATTCTATATCCTTAGATGGTTACATGTCATCGCCTGAGAGAAGCTCAAGGTATGAAGATCCTTATTACAGCCAGTATGCAACCAGATCTGGATCCATTACACCAGTTATAGATGAAGAAATTAGGTGAGATGCCTCATAGATCATCGCTTCAATTCCGTGATTTCTCCTTCACAATAAATGCGAAAGAACAATAATGATTTCCTGATTTTACAGTGATACCGAATTACTAGATGACTCCTATTCTCTGTATGGAGTAAAACTGCCTCCAGGTAGTGGACCAAGAGTACCAAGATCACCCTTTCCCCCTCCAGCTTCAGTTCCTCCTTATGATGCAACAAGGTAAGAATATTTTAAGTTGACTCGACCGTTAACTAATCTATAGGCAGGTCGATGTTACTTTAGTATATTGTACGATTGTACCAGTATTTTACCTGGAGAAGCTACTGTGTCAGCGGAACATGTGTGATTAAGAATTTTTTGGAAATCTTATCGTTTGTGAAGTTTTTGACAAGGTAACAAGATATCTTACGCTTGTCGATATTCGAATCAGTACTTCCATATCCATTCGATGACTATCATATATTCAGGTCTGCTCCACAGTTAATCAGCTATATTTCTCTAGGTATACAGTTTAATCGATGACATGGAAGTGGTGCCATCTCATTGTGGAGGAGGTGAAATACTACGGCATAACACTAGATGCAAAATTCACCTGAAATCCATATTGATAGAATGTAGGTATAACCATCAAATGTACAATATTCAAAATTGTGAGCAGATAAACATTTGGAAAGCCATGAGCGCTATAACCACATACAGTGTGTATGATTAAAGACTACACCCTCTCAGTTTAGGTTAGATTCCATGTTAGTGAGGCAAGTACTACCACTCCACTGCGACTCCAGATGTGCCTATTGTTGCTCAACCCTAGAGGTTACAGTTCACTGTACAATCTAATTCTATTAAAAAGTCCATGGTTGAATGAAGGGAGATTTGTTTAAAATCGATACGATCTACCCACTTGACACAGATTGATCCCAGAGATACCAGAGGGCCTCACATTCATGCCACACATCACACCCGTGACTCGAAATGATGCCCAATGAAACACGCAGTACTTATTGAGCGACTCCTCATGCAACAGCAAAATTGGTTGATTCGGTTTGTTACATAAATAGACAAGAATGTGAGGTTCCAGTCAGTCTCTTGGTCGTTGGTAAGAGTCACAAAGTCACCTACATTTTGAGTCTCAAATCCAATGAAATGTGACGAATATTGAGAAACTTATGTGAAATAAAGAGTCTCCCGGCTATACCAATCATGTTTTCTTGTGATTCGCATTGTTACATAGACATGAATGTGGTATCCCAGGGATGTTTGTGTTTTCCGGGTGAATTGGTAAAGCCAAATATGTCGAATCCTATTCTCTCTAAGGAAGAGCATGAACATAGTATGATGTATTCAGCCGTTTTTTCTTCCACACAGCAGAAACGACAGTCCACTTGTTGGTTCAGACCCATCCTTGCTAGGTGGAATCTTAGACGATACTGTCCCTCAAGCAAACCTTTCAGAATTCACAGGTTACCCCTGCTCCATTCAAGTATCTGCTTGGTTATATTTTTTTATGGTTCAGGCAGACACGCCGTCGAATGGTAATTCCGTCTTTTTCTCTCAGACCAGTCCGAGATAGTGGTTTTTGACGCCCCAAAGTATGTCTCTGGTCCCATGAACACAGATTTGGTTCACTGTTTAGCGAGGATGTTGGCTTTCTCGTCAACCTGTTAACGGTTGATCTCCAGCACCTGGTGACTAGGCACCCACTGCAAAGTAACTTTGTTGCTAGCTTGGAATTTATGTTGCTGGAGCTCTGAAAGGAGCTATGAAAATTCCATTGAAGGGCTTGGTGAAGAGATCCTTGAAGAGGCGTCATAATTTCCATCTCACTGATAAAGTATTTTTCAGATGGCTATAAATTCTCCCACTAAGCAGAGTTGGAAGCTATGTTGATGCAATCTTGAAGCAATTCCTGAATTTTGATAATATGTAGCGTTGCAGCAAAATTACATGTTGCTGTGACAATGCTGGACATATATAAATTTTTCATTTGAAATATTACTAAACTTTAGTTCCAGTAATTGCTACAAACATGCCTTAACATTGCTTCCATCTTTGCTTGATGAACATAGGTTCTTCGTTCTTTCATTTTCCAGAGACCAAGTACCACACTGCCTTGTTTGATATAAATTATATCCAAATTTGATATACCTGATTCGACCGGATCAAATCATCCAAATAGTCATTCGATTCTCAATTATTTTAGGTTACGAGTAGAAAATATGGAGCGACAGCTAGCGAATTTGACAGGCTTGGTACAAAAAGCGCTGACGCAACCACCACCTGCTAGTCACTTGCAGGTGCCTGGGAGAGATGGCTATAGAGGTATTTTGCAAGATTTTTTTCACAGTTTTGCTTGTCCTTGATGTTCGCACTGGTTATAATATTATATGATAGCATTTGATTGTATAGTGCTGTAGTATAGAAACATTCATACCATTGATATAATTGCGAGAAAACAACAATTACAATTCTTTTCAGTACTGCCAGAAAGTGAATTCAAAAATGATCCTTGACAAATATGTTTTTTATTTATAATTTGTATAGTATAAGTCATTATTCTCAATATGTTGATAGACATCACAGAGCATACCAATATAAAAGTTCTATCTGATACCTATTCTGGAAGTAGAATAGTTACCAGAAGAATTGAATATCTCACCAAATATAACTGTTGCATTATCAGTTCTCAAAAATTCAGAAATAAGTTTTATAGTCGTCGAAAAACAAATTTGATATGGTATGGTCATGTTTCAACTTTGGTGAATAAGAATAGAACTATAATATTGTTATAATAAAGAATATTTTTTTTGATTTCACGATTTTCAAATTCAACTATTTATCGAGATGCTAGTCTCCTTAATAGATGAATTGAATCTAATTGAAGAGTTTCATGCTCTGGCTATATTTCGAATTCAACTGACAGTACTGAATCTGCTGATTTTTCATTCCGAAATCGAAAAATTAACTGAACGTGACAGATGCTTGTGAGCAGACATACTACATAGTATCCATTCCAAATATTTCGACTCAACATTCTGCTGAAATTGCTGAGCTCAGAAGGTAGTGTGGCATCAGTGAACTGTCATTATTTTAGAGGGGGAAGGAATGTATGATTTAGTCCCGTTGTAAATGATATTATTTTCAATATCAAAAAATACCTGTTATAGAATAATGAACGCTGAGAATAATATATGGAGTATGAAGTAGTAGAGGTAACTAACGAAGAAACAGCATTGACTAAATAAATAACTTAATAAACCTTAAATGTATCCTAGATTAATCAAAATTAATACCATATTACGTTTCCCATGAATCTTTCAACTCTCAATCTGGTGCATCATGAAAAATGAATGGCAATAAAATGTCCAGGTATGCTTCATCACTCGAGCTTGATTCGTCATCGTCAACAATCGTAGAGACTCTGGATGCTCAAGAATCGATTGCTCTTACATGTTGAATATTAAATTTCCAAAATTTATATCAAGCATGAGGCTGAATATCTAGTTCAGATAAACGAGAAACTACAGACTGACAAATTTCACCAGCTAATCAACTGCTGCTGACCACTGATGAAAACCATGAAAACGTGTTCCGAATTACAGCACTTTATTCATGATTTTGAATTTCGTAACACAGATTTTCAGCAGAGTCAGTGGTTCAACAGACAGTACTGACCAGTTGAATTTGGAATATAGCCATGGCGATGTTTGATTATCTACCTGAAGCAACATGTTCATAAACATATTGAGAGATATCCAGCTTTTCAGCAGATATACACAATACTATCAGTGACGTCTCGATACAACTTACCAATGTTGCCAAGCTTGTAAATACTTAGTGTGTTGCTAACTTCACGTTCGTTTGTACTCTGCAGGAGATGAGAACTCCAGTTCGAGTTCAGCGTCGCTACCAGGTTTGTATACACTTTTGCTTGTTTTGCTTTATTTCTCTCAAACACACTGACATATCATGCATGTTCAGCTTATACCTGGGTTAATCAACGAATTTCATCGAAAAATTACAAATGGACACCACTCGAAACGTAAAATAAAACATTTCTACTTATCGTTATCCCGTTGGCTTCAAAACATTTTTGTCAGTGTCGGAAAAAAAATTTACATTTCGACAAGTTACGAAATGCCACTTCTCATAAAATTACTTTTTTCTGTGACGGGAAAAAATGTGTCATTCCATCTCTGTTGACAGGTTATGAAATGTCATTTTTCATAAACTACTTTTCACCACGTAAAAAAGTAAATACTTAATTTTTGAACCTGGTATATCGCAACAACATTTGGAGGACCCTAATTGGAGTTGAAAATCTTCTTTTTTAATGGAAAAAAAGGTTGAATTTTGAAATGTATTGACCAAAATGTCACTTTTTAAACGTTCATATTACGAAAATGGAACAATATAGGGGGTGTTCTAATAAAATAATATTCCTTAATGGCGCTCAGCCGTCATTTCAAAGCTTCAAGCTGTAAGTTTTCCATAATAAAAAAACTGTTCATATTCTATTTAAGCCCTCCAATTGTCGTTGCGATATACCAGGTGCTTCAAAACTTGATATAGATATACAGTGTGGATTGAAGGTGAGGAATTCTCGATTCCAATCGATAAAGGGCTTCATTTGTAGCAAAACCTATGTGAACCTTCATCCAACCACAGATCTAACCAAAATACCAACTTTTTAAACTATATGTTTCCAAAAATCGTAAGCTGTGATTCCTTCATAAAAAAGGTTTTCATCTCCTATTTTAGCTCTACAAATGTCGTTGCGATATACCAGGCGTGGTTCAAAAATTAGTCGGGGGGAAAAAAACTTTAGACGGGCACAGTATACCGGTTGAAAACATCAAATTTCACATCGATAATTTCCTGATTTTTAACATAATGTAATATCTTCTCAATATTGAATCAGCGTATTTCCAGTCACATAAAAATAGATATTAATTATACAAGGGAAAACAGTATTTGATTTTAGCTTTTCCCGTGGGAAAAAAGTAATCTTATGAAAAGTGACATTTTGTAACTTGTCAACAAAGATGAAATGTCAAAATTTTTCCTGTCACAGAAAATATTAGATCAAAGATCTCGGTTTTTGTTCTCCCACCGCTATACGCGTTGAGACTGGAATATAATAAAAAAATTCTGTTGTACCTTCCGACTGTTGAACTGTTGATTTCATCTTGAATTCGTATAAATCCATCATACTGCAATAAATTTCGCAAAATATTTCAAATCATATAATAGCGCAATTTTTATGTACAAGGAAATGAATGATACGATGAATTTCGAATAAAACAAAATTTGATATTCATTTTTCCTATTCATCTCATCATCATAAGTATATGGAATTGAAGAATATTACATTACATTTCAGAATCATATGAGTTAATGAATAAAGATCATATGATTTGCCCCAAGATGTCAATGCGCATGGAATGTTACCATTTTGAACCTCAAAAAGAAATTTATTAGATAGTCAGTTACCACATTGTTTGAGAAATGTTCGAGAGAAGAGAATACTGATAAACAAAAACGAATATATCTATTTTCGATATCAAAATGGCAATTCTAAATGTTGAAACTTGTCAGGGAAATGTATGAGCTACAGGTGTTTTTAATTGATATTTGAATTCACCATTATCATAATCAGACTTTATGTATCAACTGAACATGCAAAAAGCAATATTATTGTCTCCGGCGAGAAGAATGCAGGATTCTTTGATTTTGCTTCTTCATATGATTTAATTGATACCCTCACTCACTTGTTTTATGAATAAAATTGAATATTGCAGAAAATCTCTGGTTATTCAGCAAGAAATATGTCAAGAATATATCGAATGAATCGTGGGTAATCGAAAAACGGATATATTTTTTCAATTCGAATTTCTCAATCATGGTATAAAAAAATAGGTGATTTTTTTACCATGCGAAGGGAATTCAAAACCCAATAACACAGTTTAGTATCCATCTTTGGCCCTGAAAACGTAACAAACTTTTTTCAATCCTTTCAAGAGCACCAAAAAAATTGTTAACCGCTGATATATCTGTATAAATTTCAAATATTCACTGAATTTGTTCGCTGTATTAGTGTACTGAGCATTGTATGGAACATACCAATATTTTCTGAATTACAGTTAGGAGATGTTAACTAGAACAACTTGATGTTCAATTAATTCTTAACAACATTAGGATTGTTGATGGGTTTCCTCATTTTCATAATGAAAACCCTCCATTGCAAGAAGTTGACATAACCTTATTATCCCCATGGAATTGGTGTTATTTTTCATGTCAATGCTGATAATGGACATATATATATGTTCGAAACATGTACCAATTTTAATTGATGTGTTCATCACATTATATATCGTGGAGCTGACTTTGTGTACCATTTAGTATTTATTCATCAACATAATCGGTACATATATCTCCTCTCTGTTTCTATTATTATTTCATATTAGCTTATATCCATGATTTTGCGATAGTTGAGGTACAAAATTGAAAGAAACACACATTTATCTATGTTGGCAGATGATTCGTATCTCCGATCTGACAGCAAAGCGCCCAAATTGGGCAAGAGTGGCTGTCGTAAGTCGATTGTTATTTCTAAGCATGCTATATCGTCGTCTGCATACCTAAACCAAAAACAGTCAGTAAACACCTGAGGAATAGTCTGGGATCTTCAATGCTCAACGTCAGTCACATCTTCAGAGCCATTTTCCTATGGTCATAGAACATCAATTTGTCTGAAAGTTGATGTTCGATGCTATAGTATAATACTATAACTGAAATAATCACCACATAAGGATGGGGACCCAGTAGATTTTAATAATTCATCTTTCTTGGCTCAAAGTCAAATAAACGAGATATATTCCTCAACAACGATATTATTTGCATGCTCATCAGGGTGTATATATGATGTTTATTATGAAAATTAAAGTATCTTGTTTAAAAAAATAACCTCTGCTGAGAGTACTAGGTCTAATGTGTTACACAGTACTATAATTTGCATGCTATCTTGATATAAACCTACATCTGCAATATACAGTGCCTGAATTTAGAAAATGCCTTGAAACAATATTAGGAAGATATTAGGTATTATATAGGTACTGAATAAAGTTTGATCTTTAACAATATTGATATCAAGTAGAAGCCGATAAAATGACTTAAAGTGGAGTAAATAAGATTTAGTAACATCAATCCACTGTACCTATAAAGTTTTACGATTGAAATAAAGAAACGACAGAACAATAATTTATACATAATCATAATTTTTATATTCAGGCAGCATATTGCCGGACCCCTTACAACCTCTCGTGTATAGCCATGTTGTACTTGTGTGTAAACAATAATACCGATTTATGATGATGCTATAAAATTTCGTGTTGATAGGTACTTGGTTGAAATTTCATCATTGTAATGAAATTCTCTCTTGTAATGACACTTTGGATGAGTCAATTTGATCATTTTGATAAAACGTTTAAACGTAGGATGAAACAGTGTTCTGTAACAATCACGCAGAGTCTTATTTACCTCACATCTGGAGTTGTATTTTCATTCAATGAATGTTAATTCGATAATGTGAAAATGCATTGACTATCTGTTGATTCTCCAATTCATATGACAATATTTTCATATTGACTCTGTGTGGAATCACATTCAAAGTATTTTTAGAGCTGCTGAATCGTCATTTCACTTACTATAAATTCACAACAATGTACCAATTGAGATTTGTGGAATTACACTTTTAACTTGTGAAATCACGTGTTTTGTTTGATATAATTCCGACTTTCTTTGTCCTCCCACCTGTAAGAGAGGATAAATAAAACTAGATGATGTGATACATATCGTTCAACTGCTGAGTTTTCGGCGCATAAATTCAGATATTCTCTATACAAGTACAACACAAATACAACACGGCTCAATACACTAGACTTTGTGTGTCTTGTTTATGAATCTATTCACTCCACTTTGAGATACCATGGACTTTTACCATAGATTACACTAGAAAGGGTTGTACTGAAATAAGGTTTGGCAATACACATTCGCAGGCACTGATGGCCGCTACTATACATCTCAATCATCTTCTATGTCGATCAAGAACATTCACAAAAAACATTGAGTTATAATCAAAACCGATTCGGAGAAATTTATTTTAACAGAAGTGAAGCATGAAAATTTCTCTTCAGTATTTCATGTGTATCCTTATAATGAAGTATAGACTTCGTGTGTGGGTTATATTGATAATTCATATATGTATGTTTATCATTATCCATAATAGTTGGGAATACTCATTACGGAGTACAGCAAGTTCTTGTCCCTACTTTTGTTAAATAATAATACACATGGAATATTTTGGAATGCATTATTCTTTCTCAGCTAAAACCAATCTTCATATCCGACGGCATCTGCAAAATTTCTGTAGAAATTCTCTAAAGACCCCTTTGTTCCCAAATTACTGAAAATCAAATTTAATACTTTTTAGATAAATCTGTGTCATTCGAAAAATCAGTTTCGTTCAGTGATGAGCCACCAGATATGAATTCACCTAAGCAGCATAGTCCTCAACATGCAGGTAAGTTTTTTAGAAAAATAATATCTATTTTAGTGAATGTTTTTTGATATAATTACCAATCATCCAGTGAAATGAATTCAAATTAGCAATTTTCTGAGGGTATCACAATTTTGATAAAAATTGCTGTACGATATGCTAGATGAAAATATGGTAAAAAACAAATCAATCAACTCAGTTCAGCGGCTACTATCAAACATTATTGTTACCTATCAATTCACCAGAGAAACATCGAATACTTAATCATCAAACATATACACACTCACCTGGAAGCCTTTGGAGATGGATTATCAGAATCAGAGTACGCATGGAGAATTTGCTATGAATGTTTGTTGTAAAGCCAAACTTCCAATGAAGTGAAAACTAAAAGTTGTTTTACCTTGTGGATTGTTTATTATACCGTGATCATATCTAAATCAGCGAATTGTCAAAAATCCATATTCTCTGTGATTATCAATTGATGTATTCACCTGTTCATAGTCACAAACAATAATGTTTCCATATTACTTCGATTGTTTGCATGATTTTTATTTCTTGTCACTACCTACTAACTTCATGACGTTTGAATTTTTGCTTTTTGAAGCGGACACTAAACCAGCAAAACCAGCCATAAAATCGTCAACTCTACCAAGAACATCATCGCAAGGTGAGTTTTCTTCTTTATTTTTTATTTGTGTTTATTAGCAAGTTTTTTTTATGAGTATGCATACCTCAGTTATGAAATGGAAGCATTTTTTTCGAATTGCTGCTGATTGTGCTATATTATGTTCATCCATGAACACGTTATAGTATTTCCATTTAAGACTGTACCACCGTTTTGAAAACAATTCACATTTAACAACCAAATGAATAAAATTAAACAGAAAGAGCGTCCAGGAGGGATATAAGGGGGTGATAGGGTAACTACCCCCTTGAACTGAAATCGATGCCTAAAAATGTAGAGAAACATACATGTTCATGTTGATAATGGTATGCAATTTATAATCGTTTCTAACTTTTCACATTCTGGTAGGTATTTGATTTTCTTCTCTTATTTTTTTTTTTCATTCTTCAATAAACCGCGCTTCGTCACCCTGAAATCTGAATTGTTGCCTTGCGATGCTTGCTAAGAAGATGCTGGAGAAAACTACATGTGATATAAACATTCATTCGGAAGGAAGATCATGAGATGAAGGCGATTGAACTTCATCAGAATTGGAATCTCAGGTTTTGGTAGAAACTGTAGGAAGCAAAGATCGTCAGGAAAAACAGGAGCAAATTCTGATCTCTCTTATCTTCGAAAGACTCTTGCAGCGCACGAAAGGAAATTCCTATAATGTTCGAAGAACATCATGCGTCCCTAGGAAGGACAGGGAGAAGAGGTAATTGTTAGATTTTTTTTTTTACTTTTTGGAGGTTTCATGTTTTTGGAAATACTTCCATTGGCGAAGAATTCCAAAGCTCTGCCGTTCTATAGACGAACGAGTTTTGGTGAATTGTTGTTCGACATATTTCAAGGTGGACAATGGATGGACGTGGTGACTTTGAGTTTGTCTGAGTGGTATTGCTAGTGTTGGAACATTTCGCGTGGAAGTATCTATAGAACATTGAAAAGTCGCCGACATTTCTAATGAAGTCAACGTATCAGTGGGTGTGGTATCACCCACCAGGCGGATGGCTCTTCTCTGGATGGAATCTAAGAGTCTCATCGTATATTTGGGTTTTGGGTGCTAAACCTCATATGTGAAAACAGTATTCTAAAACTGACCGTATCTGTGCTTGGTAGATTATTACAAACTGTTGAGTTGTAAAGTAGATCTTCGCACGGAATAAAGTAATCTAGTTCTTGTGAAGCATCTTTCGCGATGGATCATACATGATTCTCCCATGAAAGAGTATTGCTGATGGAAATACCGAGCATCGATATAGTGGTCTTGGTGTGGGTGATGGTACCAGACATTGTTGAATCAGACATACTGAGGCTTTCTAGAGAAACTACAGGCTTGAGTTTTGGTGGCTTTGAATTCCACCAAGTTGTTGGTTCCTCATCAGAATGTGATTTCAGCAAGATCGTCATCGACAGCTTTGTCCTGCCTTCATCATTCTTAGTTTCATGAAGAGGCTACTCTCAACAGGTCATTGATATGACGTAGGAACAATGTTGGTGCCGAAATGGAACCTTGTGGAACGCCGGAATTGATGACGATCAGACGACACTCCGTCCACCACCACATGAAGCGATCTGCCTTGAGAGGGAAGTCAACAAGGTCATTTCATAATGACTGGAATGCAGACCTCTCCAATCAAATAACTTTAGGCCGAACTAAGAGTCTGATTGCCAAATAGATTGAATTAACCTGGAGATGAAGGTTTTGACTCGGGATTGGATAGTTTTGAAGACGAATTTCGTTCGAATAAGAAAGCTACAGAAGATCAAAAATATGTAAATATTGGGAAATTTTGTGTCTCAGAATAACGTAATATTCACTCAATCCCTCAGTAATGATTTGGGCAACCCCCACCTAGAATTTCAGCTCTTGAAATGTGACCATCAAGACATTGTCGTTCTGGATGACAACCTAGTTGGGTAGTTAGTAGGCAGGAGCTATAATATTGTCTGTTCATTGAAAAGACAAATGAAGAAAATATGTAGTTCAGAGACATCTACGTGAATTGAGTAAACTAAGTTATTCATTTTTTATTCCTAACCGTAACATTTTTCATGGTCCTGTCAAGTTTGTAAATAAAAATCTGTCATGTTGAAACCCGAAAATAAAACATTATCACGAAAGATATTATCAAGTATGAAAATCATCTACCTATACTTGATTGGAAGCAGGAAGATGTTTGGGAAATGCTGTATTAGTATGATTTATGATGCAACTTGAATTTAAGTTGGAACTGTGGAAACTTCGGAAACTCAATGGTGCTCTATTACACTTTTTCGACATGCAAGCCAAGCAGGAAGGTAGGGGCTGCTTATTTCCTTCTATATTTTTGATAAGTTACTATATAATTCATGAAATTCCATTATTTGCAGTGAAAATATGTCTTTAGTGATGTAAAATTTCAGGTACTTACCTATAGCGAAGAGTAGTTACATTAATAGCTTTTCAGTTGAAAAACAAAAAACTATGAGTGATGTTCAGAAGGAATGTACCAGAAGGATGATGATGTTCGAGAACAGAATGGAAAATTTACCATCTGAAATAAATATATAGAAGCACTAAGGTTAGACTCAATCTGGTTATTTCATCAATGTCTTATGGATATTCTGCTCCAAACACAAAATATCATTATATTTTTTATAGATAGGTCCTTGAAAGTCGAGCTGCAAAAATATCCAGTTCACAAGATTTTATGAAAAAACACACAAGAAAATGGGGCAGTGAATAAAATCAGAAACTTTTCATCCTGTAGTTCGATGAGCTGAATCCAGATAGTAAGAACAACTATTTGTTTGCTGGAAATAGCCAGTCCCCAGCATTTCATTCTAGGCTGCAAATTATACACACCCCAATGTATATTCAATTTATCTATTTTTCAAGCAATCAATTAGATGATGAGGAATATGTGATATTCCACTCCAGCACACTCAGGACCATTTTCGTAGTGAGCCACTCAGAATTTCACTAGAGTAAAATGATTTCAAGATTTTATAGGAATCATCCTCAGATATATGGTATTCTATTGTTCAGGGTTCTTTTTCAAGTTGCTGGGATATTTAGAATTTTTTATCGGAATATAACTTGTATGTATGAATAGCAATACAATTTTTTCAATGAATTGTACATAATTATGAAGAATTATTTCAATTTTTATTCTGCTATATAGTTTGTTCTCTTCTGATACCCTGTTTATTGTTGTACAGATGTATTAGCAGGTAAGTTTGAAAACACTATATATATTGTACCAATATTGTATGTAGGTAAAGTATTTTTGAAGTGAAACAATGATTATTTTTTATTAAATCATCTTATTGAAGCTACGAACTTCACTAAATATGAGAAGATGTGTCTATTATTGCCACAAATTAAGCCACAGGAATATTCAATACCAATATGTATCTTCTTAATTTATATTCAAGTCAACATTCTGAATAAACTTTATTATTATTTATTATCATTCTATAATATCTGTTCAAATGCCCGTTTCCTCCTCAGATGCTTCTTCATCGTTAGGTCCTGATCCTTAAGGCAGGAATTCCTCTTCAGCATCATATTCCAAACAACATTGATGAGTCTGAAAATATAAAAATATTGTCCCTAGTTTCAATGTCCTGTACCATTCTTAAATGAATTTAATGACTTTTGACTATGGGACAACTTTCAAAGGAACCAAAGTCAAGTTCTTGGTAAATTTCATACCGAAACTAATAATTAGTTAGTTAGTATAGGTACAAACTTGTTAAATACCATTTTATTTATATATTCCTACCTTGAACAAACTTGGAACCGTACTCTCTTGCCAAAACCGTTTTCTATTCTTCATTGGCAAGAACCAGTTCCCTTAAAATGTTGGAAACATATAGTATCATGTTCGCTTACTTCAAAAACTCACATTCCTGAAATATAAATATCATTAAGTTTCAAATATTATGCGATTCAAGAAAAAAAGTTCACCTTGATATCCAATGAATAGGGCGTGAACCCGTTGATGACTCAGGATTTGAGGCTCAAAATCACAACAGTGGGGATTGGGGAAACCATGTCTTGATAATACAATAATTACACCTTCACCTCCTGGAGTGCGCAGTTTTCAGATGACATTGCAAAATAACACAATCGCACTCACAAACCAATCAACAAACTTTGATAAAAAACCAATACTAGAAGAAATGATTAGGAATAATTGTAATTTTCAAGAAAGGAAATCAAAGTTCAACACATCCACAAAGAGGAAGTTATAAGTTAATGACAACTGTCAGAAAAATAATTTTATGATTACATGAATCTTCTTCATCGTCTTCCTATCAAATATCACGTCAATGATAGAAAGCACGTCTGTGGTTGAGTACATATTGAAGAAAAATAGAAGAAGAGAATATCAACCTAATATGGTCTATTTTGACATAAACAAATGAGCTCTTTCCAATTTCTCTGCTTCAGCGCCACTTGACAGACAGACATATTTTGATTGAATGAACAGACAATATTATACCTCCTCGCACTAGGTCGCCTACTAGGTTTTCATTTAGATCGACAATGATCAAGATGAAAGTTGTTTGAATATACAATTTAACACGTTAACGGCCAGATGGTATTCGAGGGTCATGTCAGTCTTTCATGACTGAAATGGCCGTTAAAGTGTTAATTATCCCTCCAATGACCGAATTGTTGCCTTTCCAGAGCGGGACAGGCTGAAACCCTGTCCACCGCCCAAGCCGTCTGCTGCTTCGCCCAGCTACGACAGCCGCATCTACAGGGACCTGCAGCTGACGCCCGAGATGTACAACCAGCTGCGCGGGCTGCAGAAGAAGGCGAAGGAGCTGCGTACGGAGGTCCGCAACCTGCGGCGCATGTCACAGGCGCAGGCGCACTCGGTCAAGGAGACGGTGCGCGACGCCTTCATCAAGATCAGGGCGGTGCTGATGGCTGGCGGGGATCAGGTTTGGCAAGCAGGTAATTCGTCAGGATAGCGAGCTAACACTATATAGTTGTTTTTTTCTCGAATCTAACCTGGCATTATGATGGATATTCAATTCGATGCAATCATATACAATAGGAGTAGAGTTCAATATCACTATTAACTTTGGAGATATCGTTGATATCGGTTTTCTATTACCGCATTCCGGTGATGATAGAGTCAATTCTGTGCTCCTGCGCGGCTATTTCCCTCTCTACTATCTTCTGTGCTGACCACGTTAATGGTCAGAGGTCAGAGCATTCTATATACCACGCAATTCGAATGTTAATGAACGATTAAAAATAACAAATATGATATCAACTTAAGAATACCACTACTTGAACTGAGTGTTAGGGAAAACGGTTCTCGAACAAATATGTACTAGGTATTTAACTACTTCAACTCTAAGAAAATTTGATCAATTAGCTACATATACTTATCTATTTTCAATAAATGAGTCATTTCGTGTTCGTCAATAATATGACTATGAATCCATAGTAATTTCATTGAAGAGGATAAATACTTTAAATTTCATCAATTATAACCTCAGATTATCAACACAATACGTTCTTTATCCAGTGCCCAATCCAATCAGAAACCGAAAAGTACTCCATGATCTATCTCAGTGAGTTTGTTTGTGTGGTTGATTAACTTTTACCTAATAGTTTAGAATACACTTCGAGGAAAATTGACTTTGTTGACTAATTGTTGACCCGATTTGTTTGGTTAACTTCGAAGAGAAATGACTCATGTTGAAACTACAGAATGGCCAAAATCAATTGATAATTTGATGACAAGTCGCTTTTATTATTTGTTCCCCAATCCTGTAGCTGTAGAAAAAGAGGAATGGTGGGGATGAATGAAAAACAAATAATGACAACACACATATTAGATTTGATTGTGGAACAACCCCAATGTCTAATTTATCTTGCTCATGTTGCCTGATGAATTCCCAGCCAATCAGCGACCACGTGAATATCGTCACCTTGCGTACCGATTTGAATTTGTCTATAATTCTGCCATGAACAATGTGGGGATTTTATCAAAATTAAAAAAAGTTATGCTTTTTGAAGCGAAAAGTCCCATCTGCCCCAATTACTAAGCATATTGAGGAATTTTTCACATAACTCCATTTGAATATATCCATGCTATTGGTATAAGGTAAGTTTGTTTTCCTTGAAAACGAACAGAATCTGATGGTTCAAGAAACACCTCAAACATAAGTTTCCAAAGTTTTTCACTATCGACGATAATAAATTCTACAAGGAATGTCATACTGATGATAAGATGTAGATGAGTATGTATGAATAAGACTCAATGAGTCTCAGTTTGAAAGAAATAAATGAGTTTGGACTGCTTTCAGCTGAGTTTTTTTTGATAATTTTGAAAAATATATAGCAAACAATTCCAGTAGTTTTCTAAACATTGGTTCAATTAGTCCTAAACCTCCCCATATGATTCAATACTCAATAATCTTGAGCATTTGTTTTATCTGAGTTGAGAGAATGGAACTCCATAAAGTTGTAGAGACGACATTGTTTCATCGTCAATACTTGATGTTTTATTCTCACGACTCGGTTTCTTTGATTTGGATACGTTTTTTTTAGATTTATCTGAAATAAACATACAATATCCAAAAAAAAGCTACTTGATAATCAACATATTTTCATATAGGAATGGATCAAGAAAGAGTTCGTCTCAACAGAGACGAAGATCTCTATAAACAAGAGATGTTGCGATTGGAGAATGACCTTGGAGAACTAGAATCAACAGTAGAAGAGCTAAGAGGCAACGTGATCAATCGAAAAACTAGAGTCAATATGTCAGACGTGGAAAATATGGCACTCATCTTGAGCAAAAGTTCGAAAACTGTAGCTGATCTCAAATTGAGGTAAAGATTCAAACATTTCATTGTAAGAAAGCTCTTTATGACATTTCATGTCCACGAATATTTCATGATTGGAATGTTGTCATTGCTCCATTTTCTAATTTTAGGTTTCCTGGTCTACAAGATTGTATGAAGACATTTTTATCGACAGAAATGGAGAAGATGATGAGAGAAGAGACGTTCCTGAAGGAAGAACCTGAACGTCTTGAAAGTGCTCTGAGAAGATGTAAGAAATTGACTGGGACTCTGGTTACTTTGAAAAGGTGAGTCAGCATCTATACTCTTTATTGGTCAGAAATTGGTCAGTGAGTATTTCCCTCAGAGAAAGGATGTTCGATTTCTGAATACTTTGATGATAAAGTGGTCAGAAACAAAAACAGGATGACGGAAAATTTCGTTCGACTTGGTTGCTTCCAGGTTTACGAGATCCCAATGATCAGGCTCGAATTAATCGATTTCAATGTATTTCGATATGAATGAGAGCGTATTTTACTAGCCTTTGATGTATAGTATTGATTTCATCTAATTACATAGAACAAAAAAGTTACCGGGTAATGACTTCTCAAGCGTGTTCACCTAACGGCAATTCCGTTTCCTATTCTTCTGACTTACCGAATATGAACATTGATGTGTTTTCTTACTAGTCCGAAAAATAAAATCAAATACATGCACCTTGGAACTCAAAATATCGAATATGTTGATATACAGCTTGTCTCACTTTGAATGTCGTCCCCCCTCTTCCGCAATAAGTCGTGCCATTCTTACCAAATTTGGATCGAGCTATTGAACGTCTCAAAATTTGCAGTCGATTCAAACTCAATGTTTTTTCGAGGCAGAAAATGAGAGCCAGTCCTGTTTATCCAAATTGAGGTGATTTTTTGCATATGGAGAATCGGAAGTAAGTAACAGGAACAATAATATAAAGTTATTATTTTTCCTGCAAACAAATTCCTAATATGATTTCATAAAAGAATCAACCTCTTTGCATTCCAATAAAAACGCACTGAACTCCAAAATGATGTTCTTCTCTGCAAAATTTTCAAATTGCTTGATGTTCATACCTGTCCAAATATAGTAAAAATTGCATGACTATTAGCTGAGATATAGAAGGGTATCATTCAATGTGAGAGAAAAAGCTTTCGCTCTCGTCTATTATTGCAGTGAATAATTCATAATTGATCTAACTTCCTTGAATGATTTAGGAGGTGAGTACATTTATTCAACATGATGTATTTTTTCTTCAACTGTTCATCAGAATCTGATCAGAAAGAGTGACAGGGTGGAAAACAATTTGTCTCACTACTCATGGAAGCACCCCTTTGTCCTAGTAGGTAATTATTGACTTGAAAATTTTAAAGTGACCTCAAAGAAGTACCTGATATACTTGCCTATTATTCCAATACGTGAATCATAGAGGTACGTTTATTGGACATGATCAATTTTTTTTCAACTCTTCATCAGAAAATGTGACAGGTTGCTATACAATGTGTCCCACTTCATCTGCATTTCTGAAAAATACTGAAATTTCGAGTTCCGGTATAATGATTTAGATTTCCTTCTCAGGCTATCGAGGAAACACATGATTCATCATAATATCAGTTTGACCCTGAGCAAAATAGAATTGCAGTTCGTGGGTCCATTGAATCTGGGTCGATTTTGCGCTGAACAATTATTCATCAACCTGTAACCTGTTTTGTAATCAGTCAAAACAATACGATACATCTGAAATTAGTAGAATCGACTAGAATGGCCTCTGAACTTGAGAATTATTGCTGTACTGCTTTTCGTTCACATAACGGAAGCTACAACTCTTCAAAATTGAACGAAGCATTCAGGTGTTGCGTTTCTGGTTTTGAACACTTTATATCGCAAATTCCATTTTTTTCCTTAGATTGGCTAGTGTTCAAGAACAAAGACTTCCTTGTCCCAATTCTGGCGATGGTCGATTGTCACCAACTTCTACAGAAACACCACCTATCACCCCTTCGTCTACGCACAGCAAGGTAAGGCTCCACCATTTTTCGGATTGGCAAATTTTGTTTACTAACCTGCATGCAATCGTTGTATGAATCAATTTATATGACCAATTTGATCCGATATTTCAAAACCACAATGAAAAACTGAAATTTTATTTTCCATGTCGAAGAAAACTTCTCCTTGGATCATGAGACTGAAAATTACATACTAACAACCGATGTGATCCATGATTTGAAATTTTAAACAATAATTGTTCAGATGTTCATGAAACTACTCATTGTAAATTGTACAAAATTCTTGCTGTGTTAGAGAAGAGTGTCATCTCTCGTGTAAATTTCTTGAGTAAAATATAAATTGATTCCTTTCTCAGCGTTTTCATTACAGAAGAATGGCTAATTATCAATGGATTTTAATAAGGTGATTCAACAATCAAATAACAAGCATTTCCAATGTAACCTTAGCTATTTGTCTCCTGTCTCAATTATGGTCATATTTGACAAAAAATTTAAATTCATATCCATAAACATGATTTAGTCCAAGTGAATCAATCCTATATTTTCTGCAAATATGACCACCCGAATAGAATAGACACTTCCCTTGCTGATGTAGATATAGCATCTTGTATCATATAAGCTCTATTAGCAACCAAATGTATAAAAATAATTCCTAAATATACCGAATCAATAGTTGTCCATATAACTCCAAATATTCAGTAGGTCGAAATTGTAGGTATATTCAACTTGATTATCATCGTATCCATACCCATACCGAAAGTATTAGATTCTAGGTATATCCTTGTATTTATTCACTTGAGAGCTTAAAAACGCAAGCATTGAGTATCTGAAGGATTTGAAATTAATTTTTCAGAATAAGTTGCGATAACCTCTGATTGAAATTTCATTTATATGACCATATACCCTTAACACTTGGAAAACTCCTCGAGATACACAAAGTATTCTAGCACCAATCAGCTGATGATATGTTCCAACAATTCAGTCATTCTCAATAGCAATTTGTCAGGAATAATTGATTGCAAAAAATATCATGTGCCTTGTATTCCTCTGGAATTCAACAGGCTTTTTCATATGGAAGTCTAATACACCAGTTTGTTGATGTATCAATTTGAGTACTAATGCCTAGTGGATCTAGCAATACTAAAACCCAATCTTCAGCAGTTGATGTTTATGATCATAACAAGAGGAATCACTAATTATTGTTGGAGTATATACAACTGTCACAAGATTTTTTCCCACTGATGCTACCAGATCATAACACGCCTATACCTACACCAGAATATGAAGTCAACCAATCACATATCATACGGAATCCTCATATGGCATTGACAAAAAATATTTTTTGTTGTATTTTCATGTAGTACGACTGGAAGTGGAGTTCTAACTTCAAGGAGGCTATAACTACCCACGAGTAAAAAATTCTGTATTCCGATATATTATAATATAATGCTTGCCTACTTGAGATGTTTTTGGTTAATTGGATGATTCAGAAATATTTTTGCTTGGATATGTGTCCTGAAGACTCCATTGTACTGACAGATTCATCTTGAACTAATCTACCTAGATTTTCATTTGCTTCGGAGCGTTGGACTTTTGTGTGGCAGTTTTTAGGACTCGCATATCTCTATAATTGATTGGTCTCAAAATTATTAGCACCCATGAGCACTTTCGAATATTCTTCACTTGTGTACCTACCCTCTGCACATCTATCCATATGTACATTAAATAATTTAATTGGCTTTCAAGTTATATCACTTTGCTGTTTGATTTCACCATCTCCATTTCTCACACATACAATATAGTCCCTCTCACGTATTGCTTTCTTGATGTTATAAAAATTATAGAAATATGTTGTATGTATAGTAGCAGGAGCAGAAACACATTTGTAGCCTTTTAACCACTGTAGAGTCCTAAATTTATTACTCTATAACACTTTTCGGACCTTCCTGCATCATTATGCATTTTTCCATAGATCCTGAACGGTCCAAGAGGCTGTTTTCGAAAATATGTAGTATTTTCATGAGAGTTTTATGAAATAGCGTAAGGAACAAACTCGACATTATTTTCTCGTTCATCAATACGATTTAGCCCTTAACAAATACACATCTCACAAAATACTGTTTCGTACTATTCTCCACTCAAACACGAGAATACTGTAGGTAAATATCTTTTTCCAAATGACTCGACCATAAAACTTGATGAAAATTAGTAATTATTGAAAAAAAACTATTCAATCACTCCGATTTGTTGTAAGGAACCTGCATCAATTTTTACAACACTTCTTAATTGTTCAATACTGTCTGTAGGTTAATTGTTCAGTTCTTATGCTGTTTCATTATTGGCCAGATAATCTTCCATTCCCACTAATAAAGCAATGTTGTTAAGGTACAAGTAAACCCACCAAAAAAAAAACGGTATATTCAAAGAGCATGAAAAAAATCTGGGATGTTGAAAATGGCAATTTCAATCTATTCTGAGATTTTGAAAGAAATCTGTCGACTGGTTTTTTCGAAAAAAATTATAAACACCATTTTTTCGACTTTTCTCAAAAACTGATCGACAGATTTTCTTCAAAATCTTGAGAAAGTTTGATATTGCCATTTTGAATAATCCAGATTTTTTTCATAATTTTTGAATTCACAGATTTTTCACTATGATGAAAAACTTATAAAAACTTGTCATAATATCAACACCAGCGAAAAAGTTTGCTTTACTTTGATTGATTATACAATATTGAACATATGAGAACAATTAAAATCACTTTGCAGACGTGGAAAATATTTAATTATATTTTTAAACTCGACTTGTATGAATTCAGACAGAAATTCTCATAAATCTAGATAATGCTCCAGGACGTGGTGCCTCTGCTGGAAATAGTTATAATCATTTAGGATGTGATTTCAACATAAGATAGTATCGCTACTCGCCACTGGGGATCGCAACAAATGCATGTCGTTCTGGTGCTATTTAGATACAGTGTTGCCAACATTTCTAGAGAGAGATGACCGATATTAGTGAACCGATTTGTTTCTAGGAATTATTGTGCGACTATCTAGGCATTTGTAGTTTCAATTGTGGAATCTGGGAAAGTTATTTGGAAAATGGAGGGATAATAAATAATGTCTCGTTGAATATCTGAATTGATACGTAAAAATATACATACTTATTCGAATATTTGCACAATATGGACTTTCAAATGAACTGGATAGGTAGGTAATACCTCTAATTTACTGACTGTATGTATCTAAGTATTTACCTACTTGAAATTTGGCAGGT